TTCCGGCTTACTCTGCCCATTTGAGATGAAGATAGCACCAGTTTTGTGCTAGAACACTATCTTAAGGCAACCATCAACCAAAGTTTGCATTTGTACAGTCAATAGTCTACAGATACAATCTAGTTCAACAGATACATCTATTCGACATCAAACAACTATATGTTAAAGGGCTTCGAACCGCAGAGAAGAATTTGGAAAACCAGAAATTATTAGGGTTAGGGAGAGATGTGGGTAAAAAATAGGAATAGATTGGTGTGGGGAGGCACAGGGAGAGTTAACTATGTCCTAATCACAATGCAGGAAATAGGTTGGGTAGGATGCAAGTAGAGAGAGAGAGAAAAAGAAGAAAGGGAAAGGGGAATGAAAAGAGACCAGAAAAAAAAATAGAAACGTAAAAATTAATGTTATTTTAAAGATTAAAAGACCATCTATTTATAGAGGAATATGAATATGTTGAGAGAAATGGAGGGACATAGAGGAGATGTGAAAAACTTTAAAAAAATGCTTAAAATATTATATAGGTATAAAGAGGTAGTACTGCTATTAGTGAATTTAAGTCTCAGAGGTTTTGAATTGAGTAATAAGTTTGTGGATTAAGTGTGTACACAATGGGGGGTAGGGTCTACTGGTTAACTACGGGTTTATCTGAGGACGTGCAGGACAAGAGTTAAGTCACATAAAGAAGAACAAAGAGGAAAAGATGGAAAGGATAGGAAAGTGAGAAGAAAAGATCAGAAGTTCAGTAGAGCTAGACAAAAAACAAAAAGATAATTCAGAATGAAAGAAAAAGAGAAAGAAGACAAGAAAAGAAAGGAAAACACACATTCACGTATTCCTAAAATAAAAATTATAAGAGGAGAAAAGAAAAAAAAAAAAGTTAATGGAAAACAATTATTTTTTCAGAAGAGGCAAAAATTAAAGATTAATAAAAGTTTTAGAAAAGCAAAAAAAATTTTTTTATATATATAAGGTAACAAAAAACGAAAAAAAGAACAAAACAAAAAAAAAAGAAAAAAAGAAAAGAAGAAGAAGAAGAAAAAAAAAAGGTCTTTGATTTTTTTTTTTGGGGGGGGGAGGGGTGGGAAGAGTCCTATATCTCCCTTTTGTCTGTAACCAGAGTGTGGTTGGAGTCTCTGGTCAGCTTGAGGTCCTGTGGCTTGATTGGTTTCTTAAGTCAGTTTGTTGGAACAGGCAGAAAAATGCTCTGCTTTACCCAAGATTTTGAGATTCCCCTTCCCAGGTTAGTTTACTGGGAGGGTGATCTGCTTTGAGAATCACAAAAGAGGGGGATGCAGTGATGAGGCTAGGTTCTGGGTAGAGTTGAGGCCTTTCAACAAACAGTAGCTTTTTCCTGGGGCTATTTTGTGAAAAAAACTCACAGGACCCAGCCTGGAGCCATTCTCAGGGTTTCTGTTTTTCAATTGATTGTGGTGGCTGCTAGAGGGAAGGGCAGCCTCTGGCTCTGGTTACCCGGTGAGGAGAGCCACTCCAATGGCTGGCGCCTGAGCTGGGTGACTTTTCCCTGGATGGAACTGAGTCTGTGAGGTCACTTCGCCGTTAAGTTCTTGTGACCTGCTAAATGACTCGTTTTATTCCAAGGCCTGAGCTGGAGCTAGCCGCTCCTCCGAGCTTTGTCGGTATCCAAGATGGAGATCACCGGTGCTGGGGGGGGGAGGGGTGGCCTTCCCTCCTCTGCTCCCTGAGAAGGAGTGAGGACGTCGGGCTTCTACTCACGCCGAGTCTTGGATCCTGGGTCGTCTCTGGTCTGCAAAGTGCAGGATGAAGTTGTCCGCTCCTTGTCGGTTCTTGCTGGTGTTGAGTAGAATCCGCTCTCCCGCTGCGTCTGGCTCCTTCGTCCCGGACTCTCTGTGTGAGCGCTCAGGTATGGCCACGGCTGCGGTCGCTGTTGCGACCCTGCCACCGCAGCAGCAGCTGCTGGCAGGCGCTCAGATGTGTCTGCTTGGCTTCCCCTCTCTTGACTAACTCTCTGTCCTGTGATGGCACACTTGGTGTGATTCTCTGGCTTGGGACTGTTCACTGGAACTCTGAAACTGTTTTCTATGCAAGAGCTTGTTCAGATTCCAGCTTCTCCTCCGCCATCTTCCCGGAACTCTTTTAACTTTTTCTTAAAAATAAATATCTTTAACTGATTTAACCTCTTTTGCCTATACATTGGTATCTTTTTTAGTTCCAGATTTTTTTCCTAAAGTGTTTTTTCAGAGAAATTTAGCTGGTTGTTGGGTGGATTTCTATGTAGTCTGAACTCCTTGCAATCCTCAGTTTAAAACTACTGGGCCTGAAAATTGGTAGCTGCCTATCGAGGTATACTCCTAATTAGATTCTACTTCAAAGATAGTGTGTTCTTCCATGAGGAGGTATATAATTTTATATTATCTCACTCTTTTAATATTGATATTAATTAGTGCTCAATTTTGATATACATTTTTCTATTATCTCTCTTCATTTCACATTTGAAGAGAAACTTCCCCTTCTCTACATGGTACATGTATTTTACAAAAAAAGATAGGACATATGCTTGTTTTTTGAACTCAAAAATAAGAAATTGTTTCTGAGAATTTAGTTAATTATTATGAACTTGGGCACATTTGATGTGACTTAGTCTTTTGTGGTTTTTCTTCATCCTACTGTCAGATGTACATTTTTTCTCTTTTTTTAATAAATATTTTTAATTGTAAAAATACTGTGCTGAGGGATTATAGTTACACAAGTAACCTAATGAGTACATTTCCTGTCCAACATTGTTACCTCCACCTTTGTTTTTCCCCTACCATCCCTTCCCTCCTACCTCCCCAACTCCTCCCTCCCTTCTTCCCCTGAAGTCGTAAAATTCGTTTTCAACATAGTGTCTTGTACATCTCATTGTTACAATGGGTCAACCTGTATGTATCCTTATTTCAACATTTTGTTATTTCCCTTCCCCTCCCCAAATTAGAAAAATGAATATACAAGATACTGGAATCAAATATGTGAAAGCAGGGGTTATACCATGGGGGAAGAACTACAAAAGAAACAAAAAAGTCACATAGTACATTATAAATACATTAAAAACTATTGGAACAAAGATGTACTGTTTGAGCCAGTAAGAGCCTCTATAATTAAGATCCCGAGTCCTTTGTCATATACCTATCGAGTTTTGCTATGCCTATTGCTTTCTGAGATAGTATGACACCCCAGCCTCATACTATGTTTTTCCTGTCCAGGATTTTGAATCAACTATTTCCCCAAGAAGCCCAGGTCTGAGGCATTAGAAATGCTATCACTACTTTCCTGGCTATTTTTTGAGGCCATGTTGTCAGGGGAAATAGTAAAGAAACATGGATTACCTGATAGAGTATAATATAAATTTATTACATATTATGTACACATTATAAAAGTAAAGGACTAGTGGTTTTTACTTAATCTCTATCTTACATATGATATACTTTCTTCCAAAGTAAAGATTTTCATTCTCAAGTACACCAGACATGATAGAATATCATGCCATAACTCTTTAGCCTTATCTCATTTAATACTCAGAGAGTAGTTTCAGAATAAAAATTCTATGATTACCATGAGCAATCTAACAATAACTAATTTGTTATTATTAATGTAATCACAGACAATATTGGAATCAATATAAAAATTTTATTAGATTTTCATATTATATGTAGAATACATCATATATAAATATAGGCATATGTAAATTATAGTGTTTTATGGTCAACCAAGAGTAATTTGTATCTATATTTATCTCATCCAAGTGTCAAAGTTCATTTAACTTAGAAATTTAGCTTTGAATTTCTTTTGGTTTATATTCATGTTTATCATTTGTATGACTAATGTCAAATATACAAAATAATGGGGCTGGGAAGGTGGCTCAGTGGTAGAGTGCTTGCCTTGCATGCATGAGGCCCTGGGTTCGATTCCTCAGCACCACATAGCAAAAAAGCCAGAAGTGGCTCTGTGGCTCAAGTGGTAGAGTGCTAGCTTTGAGCTGAAGAGCTGAGGGACAGCGCCCAGGTCCAGAGTTCAGGCCCCATGACTGGCAAAAAAATTAAAAAATAAAAAATAAAAATTACAAAATAAGGATTACTCAAAGAAAATGTCTTTTCCCCCTGATTCAAATAAATTCCTTCTCTTTTCTTGTATGTAGCCAGGTAAAATTTGTAGTTTACTTCCCTTTTGTTATATAAAACAAAACACACAAATCTGTAAGTGTTTTACTTTTTAGTTAAAGAATATTTTTATTGACATATCAGACTTTTAGTCCTACAAATAGTCCTGCAGTAAATATCTTTGTGTATACATTGTTTCTATATTTACCACTATATCTGTGGGGGCTGATCTCTAATGAGTTAGTTGGTAGTTCAAGAGTAAAGACATCATCTCATCACCCATTATTTTCCTGCCATACTTCATAATGATTCAGATTTATTTTCTGAGTGCTCTATATTTACTCACTTAGTTTCTTATAACACTTTCTTCTATATGCTAATTCAGTTTGTGATATGAAATCTTACTCTTCAAAGCTTTGATATTACATGTCCTTTGATCACAGAAAACTTACCAGACTGGTGGGCACCGGTGGCTTATGCCTGTAATCCTAGGTACTCAGGAGTCTGAGATTGGAGGATTGAGGTTCAAAGCCAGCCTGGGCAGTTAAGTCTGTGAGACTCTTATCTCCAATTAACCACCAGAAAAGTGGAAGTGATGCTGTGGCTCAAAGTGGTAGAGCTCTAGCCTTGAGCTGAAGAGCTCAGGAACAGAGTTCAATCCTCACAACTGACAAAAAAAGAAAAGAAAAGAAAGATTAAAAAGAAAAAGAAGAGAAGAAACCTTACCTGACTAAGTGAAAGGACTGCTAGCTACTTGCATGGTGATAATCTCCTCCATCAGAATGTTTTCTCTTAATTCTAGAGATTTTTATGTTTTGTGCATTGTGTGGTACCCAGTATATAATGAGTGAAACAACCATTTTTTTGTATGTGTATATGTTGCAGTTTGAGTCCATAAAGCCAATCACATCAAACCATCCAAACTATATTCATTCCCCAAACCTGAAGGACAGAATTCATTGTGTGGCATTTGTGTTTGATGCTAACTCTATTGAAGGGCTTTCTCATGAGATGGTGGCAAAGATCAAAACAATTCAAAGAGAGTTGATAAAACATGGTGAGTGTCATTCTACTTTGCTTCTGAAGGTAATTGATTAGACTTTATCGTAAAATTATTTGGGAGCAGAGTGAAAAAAAGCAGTTGCAAATTTGAATCTTTGTGTCTTATTAGTATGATCAAATCCCTTTACAGTCTCTGCAGCTGTGAAACTGTTCCAGTGATTTAATCTCTCTGAGCTTCAACTTCTTAATAACATTTTTATAAAAGTATTAAATGTCTCAGAGAACTTCTCAGAATTAAGTAAACTGAAGAGTAATATAGTCTTAATTAACTGATATACTTTCTTTTTATTTTTTGGGGGGATTCCGGTTGTGGGGCCTGCACTCTGGGCCTGGGCGCTGTCCCTCAGCTCTTCAGCTCAAGGCTAGTGCTCTACCACTTGAGCCACAGCACCACTTCTGGCTTTTTTCTTTTTACTTATGTGGTGCTGAGGAATCAAACCCACGGCCTCATGCATGCAAGGCAAACGTTCTACCACCAAGCCACCTTCCCAGCCCCAACTGATATACGTTTGTTGACTGAAACTTATACATACCTTCTTGGGCCTTAAAGGATTATAAAGTAGAAGGAACATTTTGGTAAGAAAAGTAAGTAAGAAAGTAAGTCACTTTTTAAGGAGAAGTAATAAAAAGGGTTTGGACAAGTTCAAGAGGATTAGGGGCTAGCTAATAAGGTGCCCCACTTTGACTTGCCTTGCTTTTTATCCATTTTGAGTGGAAAAGAACCCATTTATCATAAATTTGGTTAAGTTAGGAGCAAAAGTTGATTTAGTTATCTGCCTGCTAAAATATAAAATTCTGCAAAGGATGTGTGCAAGGAGATGGTCACGAACACTTCGAAATTGCTGTTTATTTGTGGTGCTCTGCTGTGACCTATCTCATTCTTGTATCCTCTCTCTCTCTTGCCTATTTTATCACATACCTTGGTTTTTTCTCTAATCTTCACCACAAACACCCCTACATGGAGAGGATGTAAATTAATAAAATGGTAGCATGAATTTTAGTTAGCTCTTCTGAGAGAAGTAGATTCATTTCAAGCTACATTCCTTCACAGGGAAGTCAATGAAGGGGACTTCACTTGTTAGAGAAATACTAGATTCTATGATTATCCAGGAGTATTTCTTTTGAGGGGTGGTTGTAGGGGGGGTTTGTCTAAATTGCTCCATTGAATTGCCTTATATCAAATATGCCTAATGCATAACTGATAGTTTGTTAACTTAAAAATAATAATGATCTCTGAAAAGGTAAAAGTCCATCTCTATCTGTTTGATGTAGGCACAATGCATGTGGTTTTGCTCACCCATGTGGACAGCATGGATCTGATCATAAAAGGAGATTTAATGGACATATACAGCTGTGTGCCTGTGAAACTCAAGGTAATCGGTGGTGCTTTTTGTTTAGGCACTTTTTTTGGATTATTATGCTGTAATATATGTTATTTACTGGACATGAATAGAAAAGATATACACTCAGCAATTTTAAGAAACATCAAAAGAACTAAAAGGCATTCCTCAATTTAAAAATTAAATCTAAATAATAATATGTAATATTTTTATTTATTTTGTCAGTCGTGGGGCTTGAACTCTGGGCCTGGGCCCTGTCCCTCAGCTCTTCAGCTCAAGGCTCTCACTTACTACTTGAGCCACAGCACCACTTCTGTTTTCCAGGTGATTAATTGGAGATAAGAGTCTCACAGACTTTCCTACCCTGGTTGGCTGTGAACTGTGATCCTCAGATCTCAGCCTCCTGAGTAGCTGGTATTACAGGCCATCAGTACCCAGCTATAATGTTTTTATACTGACTCTACTGAATAATTCTATCTTAATAACACGCCAGCAAGAAAATTCATGGAGGCATTGTTAAAAGTGACAAAAGAGTTTGTTTTTAATGTTTTTTGTTGGTCATGGGGCTTGAACTCTAGGCTTTGGCACTGTCCCTCAGCTTACCAAGCACTCTACCACTTGAGCCACAGCACCACTTCCGGTTTTCTAGTGGTTTATTGGAGATAAGCGTCTCACGGACTTTACTGCTTGGGCTGTCTTTGAACCATGATCCTCAGATCTCAGCCTCCTGAGTAGCTAGGATTACAGGCGTGAGCCACCGGCGCCTGCGGGACAAAGGAGTTTTATTAGTTGGTCTGCAACCCTGTCCTAGGTTGCTTCAGAAATAGGAGCAGCCGCAATCCCCAAGGGGACAAGTATTTTTCCTTTTTCCTTCTTCCTTCTTCCTACAGGCTTCTCCACTCTCTGCAGGCCTCTCTGATCTCCACAGGCCTCTCTACCTTTCCACAGGTCTTTCTGATCTCTGCAGGCCTCTCCACTCTTCACAGGCCTCTGAGCAGACCTCTAGGCTCTCTGCAGGCCTCTCTGGTCTCTGTAGGCCTCTCCAATCTCCACAGGCCTCTTGGCTCTTCACAGGCCTTTCTACCTTTCACAGGCCTCTCTGCTCTCCACAGGCCTTTCCACAGACTTCTCAACTCTGTGAAAGCCTCTTGTCCCTCTGCAGTCCTTTTCTTGCCTCTTGGCTCTGTGTAGGCCTCTCAGCCCTGTGTGGGCCTCTCCACTGGCCTGGGCCTCCCTTGTCCTCTCTGCCCGGGGCCTCTCTGTATGCCTGGGTCTCCCCTCAGGTAGGCAAGGTGTGTCTCTGCCATGTATCTCTTCAGTCTCCCTCTCCCTCTCCCCTCTCTTCCTCCCTACTCTTTCTTCCCTCTCTCCCCTTCTCTCTCTCCCTCTCCCCCCTCTACTGCTCCCTCTTCCCCTCTTCCTCCCTCTCTCCCTACCCACCTTCTCCCTTTCCCCCTCTACTGCTCCCTCTTCCCCTCTCCCTCCCTTTCTCCTCCCGCCCCCTCTCCCTCTCCATCCTCTCCCTCTCCTCCCTTTCCCTCCTTTCCCTCTCCCTCTCCAGTGGCCTGCCCCCTCCCCCAAGCCACCTTTGATGCCCTGTCCCTAGAGGACTGGCAGTGCTCAGTGTTGGTGGGAATACCCCTCAGATTCTTACACTATCCACTGCTATTTGATTCTAACTGCATTACCATATTTATGATTACCTTTATGAACAAGCCATTATTCTAGTCTCTAGATAGGTGGATAATGAAAACAATTCCCCAGCTCTAAGAAATATTTACTTTTATAGGTGGGGGTGAGAGGTGGGGAAATGGGATGAGAAAAGGTTGAAAAAGGAAATGTAGAAACATGATTAAGTGAAGAAATGTCAAGAAATGATGAAGCACAAAGTGCATTCCAAGTGTAGAGGAGGAGAATGTCACTGGAAAGGTTTCGCAAGGGAGGTATGGTGTCACAGGGCTTCCAAGGAGTAGGGTTTCAGGAAGTGAAGAAAGGGAAATGTTTCCTGCCAGGATGGCCACCATCAGCACATGAGCATCACTCAGAATCATGGAGCTGCTCAGTTTAGTGGAGGGCTGCATCTGTGTTGGGGGAGATAAAATGAGAAAGAGCAGTTTATGACATGACACTATTGAATGTGTGCATTGTAGGGAAACAAATATTTTTGTATAAAGTTCCCCAGCTTTTGATCTGTTTGCCATTGCAGGCAGAATAGATGGGAGGCAAGGGTTGTTGAGGTGGGAACACTAGTTGTAAGAATATAACACTAGTTACTAGTTACTGACCACTAAATATGTGCTAGATTTTCTTCCTTAATCCTAATAAGAATCCTATGAGATGGGAACTGTTTTTATTGTATATTACAGATGAGAAAATCAAAGCACACAGGATCTGTCCATTTATAATGTTAAAAAATGACACAGCTGTACTGTGAACCCTATTGATTTTTATTTGGTCTGGCTTCAGAGATAAACTAATCTTACCAAGAATTAAACAGTAAGCCAGGCACATGTGGCTTATGCCTGTAATTCTAGAAATTCAGGAGGTTGAGGTCTGAGGATTTGGGGTTGAAGCAAAGGCCTTGAGATTTAATCTTCAATTAAGCAGAAAACAGTGAAAATGCCAAGCAAGAATATAAGAATTCAAGGCTCTGAGTTCAATCTCCGATACTTGCAACACCCATACACACACACAACAAAAGAAAAATTAAATGTTAAATTATTTTAATGAAATCCAGTGATCCCAAGAACAACTTGCAAAACAGGAAAATTGTGGACTCCAATGTAACTATATTAAAATGCCTCCATTTCATAATAATTTCTGGAGAACTTTAGTTGCCTTTTGTTTCTAACTCATGTTGAACTCATTATGTGTATTCTAAATACAAATGAATAGTGATATTAAAACTAGATGCATGAATTTTTTCAAAAAATTAGTTCATGGGGTCAAAACACCATTTCTTTACCAGCAGGAAAAATTATTGACAAGCTCTTACTTAAAAAAACAATATTGTCAAGGTGATGTACAGAGGGGTTACTGTTACATAAGTAAGGTAGTGAGTACATTTTTTGTCAAACTTGTTACCCCCTCTCATTTTTCTCCCACTTTCCCTTTCTCCAAACCCCTCCTCCCCAATTGCACAGATCATTTCCAACATATTGTCTTGTGAGTATTGCTGTTGCATTGGTTCCCCTTTGTGCTTTGTCTCACTATTTTATTGTTCCCCTAGCTTTTGTAAGTCAGATATAAACATATATGTACAATACCCAGAGTACCAAAATCAAATACAGGGACAACAGGGGATAAACCACAGGGAAAAAACACACGCAAAAGAAAAAAGAAATCATATAGTACATTAAAAACAACAACAACAACAAAGAAAAATCTCTTGTGTTCGTGTCTTGGAGTTCATTTCACTTAGCATCATCTTATATGGTCATATATACATGGGTATTGAGCTATTCTGCTTTACTTTTGTTGTTATCATTCATACTGACATGAAATATTTTTTGCTATTTTGAGATTTCTGGCTTTTAATTTCTGTTTTACAGCTACAGGAAGTCCACAAAAAGCTTGGATTTGCTCTCTCTGACATCTTGGTGGTTAGTAATTATGTCTCAGAGTGGGAGCTGGATCCGGTAAAGGATGTTCTGATCCTCTCTGCCCTGCAGCAAATGCTGTGGACTGCGGATGACTACCTGGAGGACCAGCCTCTGAAGGAAACATGTTAAAGCTTGTAGGGTGTGTTACTTGGCCAGTTCCCCTGTGGCTCTGTGTGGTTTTGCTGTGTGGTTAGTCTTGCCCTTTAATTCATTGGCTAGATAGATTTTTCTCCTCACATTTCCTTCCTTTCTGTTTCTGCCACCCCACACATCCTTAGAAGATCGGCACCAGTTCATTTCTCCCTGTTTTAAGGAGAAAATCTGGAAATGATCATGTCAGTCTGTCATTCCCATTTCTGAAAAAGAATCGCATGCTTTATTTTCAGCCTCTTTTCTCATGAGAATATGCTTCTTTCTTTGGGACCTACAACTGGATGGGATCCACACTTGTTCTTATCACATGTAATGCATTGTAATTATATGCTTCTGCCTTTATTACTTGACTTTTTGCACTTCCCTTCATATTTGTATTTCTGCAGTGCAGTCAGTGCTAGGTAAAGCCTGGACCTTTTATACCTATTGATTCAGAAACTGGTCTATGTGTGTTTCCTATTATCAACCTGCACACAGTATCTACTTCATTGTTAGACATAAAGATCACAGAGGGTGTTAATATATTATATATTATGGTAGTTCTTGGGAAACTCTCTCTTATTGTCATATTGCTGAGAAAGTTTCATAGTACTTACATGGCTGTACTGGCTGCCATTTTCCTCTTCTGTCATTTTCTTTTCTTCTTCACAGTGCACATGCAAGTAAACTCAGGAGGGATTTGGATCTTCAGTGACCCAACATTCCTCTTACCTTTGGTTGTTTTCTCTAGAAAATCAACTGTAAAAATTGTTTTTTGTTTTTCTTTGAAAGTATGTTGAAGAAGAAAATAAATGTGTATTTTCTACCTATTAATATTTCTATCTGATCACAGAAAAGTGAGACTAAGAGTAGAGAAAATGGAGATCAGTTGCTGAGGCCAAATGGGCTGCATTTATTTCTTTATCTATATATAACAGTATAGTATTTTCAATAATCAGAGGAAGCAAATTTTAAATTAATTGTGAGGAATCATTTTTCTTGGATTTACATTCTATATCTGGGAAAATAAAGTTTCTTCTTATGAAACCTAGGTTTAAGTTGACTGTGAATCAGGGCAACACACGCACACACACACACACACACACACACACACACACACACATACACACACACACACATTTTCTCTACTTCTTCCCACTCTAAATAATCATAATGGGCAATTAAAATACCTGTCGATTAAAGACCAGTGATGATAAATACATGAAAGGCTGGTTGGTTTGATATGTCAATATAACATAGAAAAAATCATTATAAAGTTTTGGTATATGGGTGTGGGATAATGAGAAAGACTTTTTTCTTTACCAAAACACTTTATTTAGTACATCAAGTAGGAGTAATAACAAGAAAGAAGAGGAATATTCACATTAGTTATTTTTTAAATTAAAATTACTTGTTTTATTGATTCTTTAAAGGTGGAACTCTCAGATGGAGCTCATGTTTCCAGATGATTAGTTCCTACATAGAATTAACACACAGCTCTTAAGGAGGTACTCACCAAAAAGAGCAGAAGGCAAATCTAAATGAAGTCATTTAAGGAGAAATTATGGTTAGATTTATAAAAATATGGAATTTACATATAGCTTTCAGATATATATATTACCAGTCCTGGGGCTTGAACTCCAGGCCTAGGCACTGTCTATGAACTTTTGTGCCCAAGGCTAGTGCTCTACCACTTGAACCACAACTCCACTTCCAGCTTTTTTGTGTGTGGTTAGTTGGAGATGAGTCTCCTGACTTTTTGACCAGGCCAGCTTTGAATCTTGATCCTCAGATCTTAGCCTCTTGAGTAGCTAGGATTACAGGTGTGAGCCACTGGTGCCTGACTTCAGCATTATATCTTATTCTGATAATCTATGACTGAGGCTTTTGCTCAAATAAACAGAGTTGTGTCATCAGCCTTCTCTCTGCCTCCTTCATCATCCCTTGCCCCTTGGGAGTCCCTGCTTGTGCTGCAGCTGGACCGTGGCATCAGCTCACAACTTTATTTTTCTAATGCACTTAAAAACAAGTTTAGGGGGGCTGGGAAGGTAGCTCAGTGGTAGAGTGTGTGCCTTGCATGCATGAGGCCCCAGTTTTGATTCCTCAGCACCACATTAGCAGAAAAAGCCGGAAGTGGTACTGTAGCTGTAAAACACTAGCCTTGAGCTTTAGGGACAGAGCCCAGGCCCAGGGTTCAGGTCCCATGGCAGACAAAACACACACACACACACACACACCAAACAAACAAACAAACAGTTTAGGATGACAGTCCTGTATTTTACTGTAAAACCCCTGTTTTCACTGTATTTGATGTTGGTATAATTGTGGAGGAGAAGGGAAAAAACAAATTGTTTAAATAGGGATACAGGTGGACCATTGCAACAATGAGATGTACAAGAGGTTATGTCGAAAAAAGAACTTTACAACTTTGGTAGGGACGGTAAGGGGAAACAAAGGAGAAGGCAACAATGCTTGATAAGAAATGTACTTATTACCTTGCCCATGTAATTGTAGCCCCTCTTTTATTTATTGTATTTTCACAATAAAAATATATTAAAAAAAGAAAAGAAAAGAAAATAGACAAACTGCCCGAGTGCCAGATGTCCTGGAGACAGGACAGTGTGGTTTTGCAGGGCTCGAACCGTTAAACGTAGACCAATGGTACAATTTCTGTAAATATCAACCAATCATGTAACTGCTTGTGTGGAAATCCCCTAAACCTGTTTGTTTAATGCTCTAAAAGCTGTGCTGACTTTATGCTCAGAGCCTCTTAGCATCACTGGTTGCCGAGTGTGTGGAGGACCAGGCTAGAGCTTGCGAATAAACGACTCTTTCTGTTTACATTGGTCGTGGTCTCTGGTGATCTTTCAGAGGTCTCGAGTCTGAGCACAACAAAGTTAAGCTGTATGATTGAAACAAAAATGCGAACTGAATAAAATAAATAAATAAGCCCTTCTTCACACTACATGCAAGTCAATTTCCAGGTGTACTAAATATCTACATGCTAAGATTTGTAGGGGTTAAATTAGAAGTATACCTTTCTATATAGGGAATAAAAAAATCTTTATCTAAATCATGTTTTTAAAGCAAAACACAAAAGATAGCTACGAAAAAGAATAAAAATTTGAATACATAACTATTAACTTATATGTTAACATTGAGAGAATGCAAACAGATAAAGTAAAATATGTTGGCAACACGCATAACTGACCAAGAAGGAACGAAAGGATGCATAAAGAATCCTTGAAAGTCCGGAAGAAAACTGAATTATAAAAACAAATGGAGAACTAAGTTAAAAAATCTTTCTTCGGAATAGGAAATTCAAATGTTTATTAGTAGGAAAAAATATACACCTAGCATTAAAAATCCAGATGAAAACAATTACATAGCCGGGCACTGGTGGCTCATGCCTGTGATCCTAGCTACTCAGGAGTTTGAGAATCGCTGTTCAAAGCCAGCCAGGGCAGAAAAGTCTGTGATACTCTTATCTCCAATTAATGCAAACCAAAAGTGATGCTGTGGCTCAAGTGGTACAATAGTAGCCTTGAGCCGAAGACCTCAGGGACAGTGCCTAGGCCCAGAGTTCAAGCCCCATGATGGACCAAACAAAAATACATCCTCTTATTTCTTTATTAATATTTAAATAGCATTATAAACTGCACATTTGAAACTGCCATTTGAAGCATTCTGAGATATGATTATGCCTATCTGTAGAACTTTGTTGACAGTCAGGTTAACAATACCTTCATCTCTCTGCAAGGTGTCTGATGTCCTTGGAATAATTTTCTCTGTTCCTCCTAGTGTTCTAGCTCTCAGATGACCACGTCTTCATTCTCTCACTCTAAATTAGTTTATGCTTTTGAACTGGTACAAATGGAACTGTGCAGCCTACATTCTTGGTTGTCTAGTTTTCTTTACTTAGCACTGAGGTTTAGTGCTATTGTTACATCTATCAGCCATTCTTTCTTTTCCATTGCTGAATATAGTTACATTTTATGGATTTACCACAATTTTTTTTATGTGTGCACCTATTTCCTGGTATTTGTACTGATTCCAGTAACACTGCAGATACAATAAATATGGACTCAATCATTTATGTTAGGGATACTTTTTAATATCCATATCAAAATATATGTGTTATATATGTGCACGAATCTTTGTGATCATGTAAAAGTGTGATTAACCTTCACATTTATCAATTAAAGAATATATGAAGAATTGTGATATATTATTTAGGAAAATTTGTTTCATACAGCATTGAACACCAAAGAGTTATAATTATATACCACAGTTTAGATAAATCATACAAATCCAACATTGACAAAAAGAAGAAAGATGTGAATGAATCAACACACTATGAATAGACTCATAAAAATCTCACCAAGTTCTAACCAATGGGAACAATAATCACTGAAATGAAAATCGTAGTTGTCTTGGGGGACAGGGTGGAAAAAGCCCTTCTGTCAGGGCTACAATTGTTTTGAATAGGGTCAAGTGGTGGTATGCATTACAATTATTTAAAAATCATAGGTGTATGGATCCATTGCATGCATGTACTGTATATTTCATAATTATAGAAAAATAGAAAATCTATAAAATCTATAAAATTATAGAAAAATAACCTTGTGTAATAACTTATCCAAGTTTAGAATTAGACAAATTTAGGTCTATTCTGCTTTATAACTTCTGCTCCTTGAAAGGGCTATGATTTCCCCATCTTGCAGAGGCTGACAGTAGTTAATTTACAGGTATTTTGTAAAATAAAATTAGACACTATACCTATCTACATTGTAAGTAACTACACTAAGAAACAAAAATACTCAAATCTGATTGTGGGTATTGCCAGTCTATGATAACAAACTAACAACTTACTTTGTTCTTGTACTATCCATTGAATTTTATTGCAATTAAGAAAAAAGTAGCTCCTAAGTGAAAGACTGAAAGTTGCGTTTTTGGTAAAGTGTCAAGGATTTCACTCCTAAAGAAAATTTAACCACAAATGCCTATGAATTTTAAAGTAGCAGAAACTTTCTAAATACCTTGGCAATGTCTGACCTCTAGTGGTCACTGCTGTAGCTAGAGAAGTTGAGAATGGAATTCTGAAGTTTGAACAAAAACTGCTAAGACTTAAATAAAAAAAATCACAACCGAAAATTTAATCCATTGGTCTGCATTAACTATTAAACAGACAACATTTAAATTGAATATAATTTTCTCTTCGCGTTGATTAAGTGAAAATATTTGGAAATGCCATTCTGTGTTTTATTACTCAACTCTGGCTTTTTATTGAATTTATTTTTCATATATATTTACACTTTAACATGAATGTATCGTATTTTAACAGACACATCATCAATAGGAATATAAACATAAATATAACCATAATTTAGGGCTTATAGTGACCAATAAAAACAAAATGAGTACTTTTGCTTTTTGTATATGTGGTCACCAATTACAAGATTAGGGGATAATGAAGTTTTGAAGACACTTATACATGAATGGCATTTTCAAAGACAAGAAACATTGTGATTCAATTGCCACTATCTCCAGCTTTTATATTATTGTACAGAAGCCTCAAAGCTTGAATTGTTTACCACGGCAAATTACTACAAAAAATGACAATGTATCCCTATTTCTTGCCAATGCTTTCTTTGTTTATAGGGAATTGTCATTAATTTGTTTTGGTGACTTTGATTAGACATTGACTTCAGTATGGTTATCCAGAGAGATAGAACCAATAGCATCTATAAAACTATAAATAAACAGAACATAAATATATAAGCAAATAATAAATAATAAGTAAATAGAGTGACAGGATTATGTCACAACA